CCTCTAAGGATTGTGGATGGACACACACACATATGGCATACTTTCCAAGCTGCCAGGTCTGGGACTTGAACTATCCACTTGGCATGTGAGATCCAGTCACATTTACTACCCTATCACCAGGCTGGCACTATTTCATATTTCTTAATAAATATTTTTTCAACAAATACTCTTCCTTTTATGATCTTTTACCCTGGGATTTTTAGAACTCACCATTATATTCTGACCTCAGGAACATGCTCTGTCCAAATAGTGTGGGTCTTACTCCTCATCTTCAACATTAGTCTTGTCAGATGACTAGATCAATGTAGTCTATGTCAAGCTAATGGATAACAAAAGACTCACTGTGGCTAGAGAGGTTATACAGCCCAGAAGAAAAACGATGATTGCATATTTATTTGTGTTCACATCCTTGGAGTAAATGTTAGAAGATTTCCTTCTTCTTCTTTTTTTTTTTGGAGAGGTTTTTTGCTATAGGGTGCATGCGCTTGCCAGACAAATAGAGAGAGACATAGAGACAGAAAGCGAGAAATCACCCCCCAGGGAGGATGGTCATGCCGCAATCCCTTCTCCTCCATTCTCCTCTCGGGATCTTGGGCACGCACGCACACGCGCCCGGCGTGAGTTTTAAGCCACCGGGTCCGGGACACGAACCACGTTCGACTACGTGGGAGTCCAGCGACATAGCCATTACGCTAACTGCTGGTTCCCGATTTCCTTATTCTTTAGCATAGCTGGTCAAAGAGAAAGATCCACGAAGGTATTATTTTCTACATCTCTTATATTAAAATATCTGCTGTCTCTGTGCTATGGGTCCTTAATACCACACGATTCACCTAGCCTTCTCCTCTGGTTGCTTCCTTCTAATATGCCCACTCTCAATTTTTCAAAATCTGGTAACCAAGGCAGCTTTCCTCCATACCATCTACTTCCTTAAGCTCGTCACTACTCCCCTCCTCTTCAGTCCATTCTTTCCCTCATTAAAATTTAGATTCTCAATACCAGCAGGTAGTATAGCAGTCAAGGTGCTAGACTCTCACGTGGTCAACCACAGTTCATGACCTGGACCCCGTGGCTTGAAAATAACACCAGGTACATATCCAAAATCCACAGAGGAGCCTAGAGGAGAATGAATTGCAGTGTGGCCGTGTCCCCTAGTGGGTGATTTCTCAATTTCCCTCTCTGTCTCTCTCCAGCAAGTACACGTCCTATGGCAAAAACTTAAAAAAAAACAAACAAAAACAAAAACAACTCAGTTTCTCACCACAGTTTCAAGGACCTGTGACTTCCTGCCATCACTTCTTTTCCTCTAGTCTAGCCATGCTCAGCATGTCTTTTCTCCCTGCTCTCCCATTCCACATTGGGGTCTAGTAAACTTCAAGATTTTCTAAATTTTATTTTGGGAATACTTCTGAACCATGATATAAGATTAACTGGGTTTGGAAAATGGAAGAGCAATAGAGGAAAATAGACGTATGACCACCATATACCCATATCCAGAAAGCAGTGGACTGAGAAATAACTGTTAGCGGCAGAATTTAACTCCACTCAATATGGAGCTCCACTACCATGGAAGTGTTAAGAATGGAAAGAGGAAGGGAAGAATACACACACAATTTGGGGTCACAGGTAAATCAGTAAATATGACCATAGATAAATCACATGGAAAGAGTATAACAGGAAGACACAAACAGTTCTAATTCCAGTTTTGGAAGGCATTAGTTTCAACAATGACCTTGTTTCTTTGTTTGTTTCTTTTCTTTTCTTTTCTTTTCTTTTCTTTTCTTTTCTTTTCTTTTCTTTTCTTTTTAAAGAGTTTTATTCTATAGGGCGCATGCCCTTGCCAGAAAGACAGAGACAGGGAGATAGAAAGCGGAAAATCACCCCCCGGGGGGATGGCCATGCCACAATCCCTTCTTCTCCATTCTCCTGTCGGGATTTGGGCACGCACGCACATGCACCCAGCGTGAGTTTAAGCCACCGGGTGCAGGACTCCAACCACGGTTGACTACATGGAAGTCCAGTGACATAGCCATTACTCCAATTGCAGGTCCCAACCTTACTTGTTTTTATAAACCCGAATTCTCAATAACCCACACTAAAATGGGAAATAAATAAAACAGCCTATATTAGAGGATATAAAAAGTTGGGTCTCGGCCTCAGACAGGGCAATCCTAATACCCATCCCGCAATCCATCGCACCTCTAGACACTCTAGTGAACAGCGAATGTCAGAACAAACCTAGGAAACCGTCATCGATCATCTACATACTTGAATGTTCACTTGAATGTTCCCTGTCACAGAGACAAATAATTCAGATGTCAAACTAATTTTTTTAGTTTCCAACTGAAAGCTTTGTGTCACTTAGGTCTAGTCAGCATTGAATTAATTTTTTTCCTCTCCCACCCACCATGATAAAGATGTATTTCTTGAGAACACTTTTTGTTATATAACACGGTCTAGAGAATATGGTTAATTTGATATTCTAGTTGACTGAAGTATGCTACCAGTATGCATTATTTTATACCATATTTTGTATTCATATCTGTTAATATCTTACATCTTCTTTCCACAGAAAACTTCTTGAGAAAATAGCCCAAATTTAACTATCTTCACACCCTTCAAGAGATTCTTAGTATCATACATTATATGCATTTAACTGGATTAGTAATTGCTTGTTGGAGAGGCCAGCAGATGGCACAACGGTTATGTCGCTGGGCTCCCACGTAGCTGAACACAGTTCGAGTTCCGGACCCAGTGGCTTAAAACTCACACCAGGCATGTGTGCATGCATGCCCATGATTTTGAGAGGAGAATGGAGGAGAAAGGATTGCAGCGTGACTGTATCCCAGTATGTACCAAGTCAGCACAGCTAATTTCTCACTTTCTATTACTCTCTCTCTGGCGAGCACACATGCCCTTCAGCAAAAATCTCTCTTAAAAAAAAAAAGTTGCTTGAGTGGGTGAATCCACAACATTGGAATGACCAATATTCAAAGAGCTATTCTGCAAAGATAAACTCAAACTCAACACAGGATCAAACTTTTCTTTTTGGGAACCAGCAGTTAGCGTAATAGCTATATCGCTGGACTCCCATGTAGTCGACCGCGGTTTGCATCCCAGACCCGGTGGTTTAAACTCACGCCGGGCGTGTGTGCATGCGTGCCCAAGATCCTGAGAGGAGAATGGAGGAGAAGGGTTTGCGGCGTGACCATCCCCTCTGGGGGGTGATTTCTCACTTTCTGTCTCTATGTCTCTCTCTGTCTGTCTGGTGAGTACATGTGCTCTATAGTGAAAATCTCTCCAAAAAATCAAAATCAAAAAAAAAAAAAACTTTTTCTTTTTAAGGTTTTTGCCCTAGGGCATATAGGCTTGCTGGAGAGGAAGAGAGAGAGAGAGGGGGAGGGCTTGCTGGAGAGAAAGAGAGAGAGAGAGAGGGAGAGGGAGAGGGAGAGGGAGAGAGAGAGAGAGAGAGAGAGAAACCACTTGCTAGGGGAGGTGGTCACACTGCAATCTCTTCTCTTCCAGTCTCATCTTGGCATTTTAGGCATGTACACACATGTGCCCAGTGTGATTTTCAAGCCATTGGGTCTGGGACTCAAACTACTCAGGCATGTGAGAGTCCAACATCTTAACCACCAAGGCACCTCCTGGCCCCGGACTGAGCCTTTCTTAATTGTACAGACACGTTAATGTTTTATGATACCTGGATGTCACTGTGACAAATGTGAAGGGTTACTGGAGTACTAAGTTGGTGAATGCTGTTTAACAGAGGTCTAGCTGATAAGATGGTACACTACATCATGACCCTTGTCTTGCACTTTTAAATGTCACACAGTACGTTTAGGACAGTGACTTAATTCCACGCACATCTCAAATGACGATCCCGGCCCATCACTCTTCATGTGCAGCCTTTGCTCACGAATTCTCCCTATCCTCTGTGTTTCTGTCACATTTTTTTGTTTTATATCTCATTTCTTCAGAGATATACTCATTTTTTTTTTTTTTTTTTTGCTACAAGCCCTCTGCCGTGTCTTTCTTGGATTGGAAACCCTCTGACCAATCCATCTTCTCCCCTAACAAGCCAATGTCTACTTTCTCTGGATCTTGACTCAAGCTTCATATTCTCAAGGAGGTCTTTCCAAACAGCTTCTACCTTCAATAAGTAAAATTCCTTAGTTATATGTCCTTATAACCCCCAGAATATATATTTCAGTCTCTGTAATTATGTATGTATTAGAGTGATGACTGGAATAACTCCCAGTGATACCCCACCCCCAAATAAGTTCTAAGCAACATGAAAGCATGACTTCTCCCTGTTTTATCCACGATCAGATCACCAGTACCTAGCATAGTGCTTGGTGGGAGAAAATTGCTCAGTGAATATTTGTAGATGAATACACGAATGAACATGTCATTTTCCTTCAGACAACTTGCATATACATGTACACACATGCACCTCTTTATTTGGAAGGCTCATGCAAGGTTACATGTACGGAGCAGTGACTATTTTTAAGTATATTTTAAACAGCAGCTGACTCATTAACTTAGGCATACTAAAATCATTTGAAACTCACATTATTAGAAACCCAAGAACTTCGTTTCCTTCATCAAATATGTTGCTCACGGTAACAGTAAAATCTGGGGCTGCTTTCGGATCCATCAGATTTTAGTCCCTGTGCAAATGGCCTCCTACCGCTGACGAGAACACAAGCTAATATTTATCAATGAGAGCATCTGAAGCCACATGACCCTCTCCAAACTCAAAGGATCAGTGAAAATGTCAATTACGGCTAGGCAGACAGGCAGAAAAGAATACCTCCACGTCTGTACTTCTCTTGTCCTGCAAGACTCATCCGCCTGTTCCATTTTCTGAACAATCTAGTAAAATTCAATTTACTTTTTCAATTTGTCTCCAGCCAAGCTTCCTTCTGTCAGCTATGCAGACATTTCAATGCTGGCCACGTAGAGTCACAGGAGAAGGACAACGAGAAGGGAATTACCTGTGCATTTGCGATCTGTGTCTTCTTTTTTTGACCCGCTAATCGTCAACTTGCAGTTGAAGTTTTCCTCCCAGTATTCGGCAAACCACACATTTCTTCTGTTGTTTTCAAGTGTGCGTGACGTAAAGTAGGCATCGAATCCTAAAGAGAGTTAAATGAAAAGGTCAGCGTCTGTGGGTATTACTGGATGTCTAGAAATAAAAGTATCGCTGATAATTTTCTTTTGTTCCAGTAGGCCGGATACTTTTCTGTATCAATGCAAAAACAAACAAAAAATAATGAATAAAGAAAAAATATTCTAAAACTAAACTTATGGCAAAAGTCTTAAGTCCATCTGTCAGGCAGGCGTATGACCTACAAACAACATTTTTGTAATGAAATCTGCATTAAATACGTTAGAGATGGCACCATAATCACATCCTGCTTTGCATCTCGAGGGAGCTGCACCGGGAACAAGAATTATCCATTGCCATCATCAAAACCTTCAAGATAATAATGAACCATTTCAGTGCTTACTACAGACCAGACTGCGAGCTTTACATAAATTCTTCTATTCGTTTCAACAATCTGTAAGGTAATTACTATTGTTATTCCTATTTAAAAGGGAGGAAACAGAGGCTTAGAAGAAATAATGATGTACCAAGGTAAACTCTAAAGCCGTATTGTGCGTTCTTTACTATGACAGCTACTGATCTAAGTAACATTTTTTTCTTCAAGAGAGAGATTTTTGCTATAGGGCATATGTGTTAGCTGGAGATAGACGTGGAGAGAGAGTAAGTGTGAAACCATCCCCTCCTTGCAGGGAGAATGACTAAGCCACAATTCATTCTCCTTTATTTTCCTCCTGGGATTTTGGGCACGCATGTACATGTACCAGGTATGAGTTTCATGCTGCCAGGTCTGGGGCCTGAACCGTGGTCGGTCATATGGGAACCTAGTGCCTTAAACACTATCACCTGCTGTCCACAACATAGTAACATTTTAAGAACCCTCTTTCATTTAGTAACGCTCCATTATATAATTGTCTTTCTTTTCTGATTAAACTTTGTTTTAATGGGACTCAAAATTTTGTGACAGATTTTTGGTCAAGTTGTTTCCATTAAAAAATATTGATTTTAAAAGCTAATAACTTAGAACTGCCACATGCAAAAAAAAAAAAACAAAACCAAACAAAAAAACAAAAAAACAACCCCAAATGGCCACAAAACATTTCCCTTTCCTTCTGAAGCTTTCACAATGCACCACTATCATTAACCAGTCTTTTACTTCTAAATGTACATGGCCAGTTGAGACAGACAGTCCTGAGACTGTTCTTCCCTGACTGATGAAGACCGGGATAGCAGAAATTAGGGATATTCATTGAGCCTTCTGAGCTTCCTGGGAAGACTTCATGACCTTGACAGCTCCAGCAGCCCATCGCTGTCTTTCTACTCATAATGGAAGCAGAAGTTTTCAAAGAGGTCAGAGGCAATTTGAGTCTAACAAAAGAAACGTCAGTCCTATTCCTAATGGGAGCAGAGACGGAGCCAAGTCCCCAGGAATGTTCTAGCTTTCTCAGGTGTGCAACTTGAAATGTTCCAATGGGGCCAAAGATCTTGTGAGAGAGTCAGAGTGGAAAAAGACTAGATTTGATGTTTCAAAGCCACAGCACAAATCCCAGATCCAGAAACCTTGCTAAGTCTAGGAGATGTGAGCAAGTGTACACTTAACCTTTCTGATCTTTCTTAGATCTAAATCTGTAATAATAAAGATGATACCAACTCCATCTTCCACAGTATCCTGTTTGTGGCCTGGGGAAGAATTTGGAACCTTATGGAGCTGAAGATCAAGAGCCACAGAAGAAGATGGACTTGATTTATTGAATTTAAATGATTTAAAGTTTGCTCTTACCTTTCAGGCCATAAAAACATATAATGGTTAACATTACAAAAATGGTAAGTACAGTTTATATGCATTTTCTCATTAGGTGTCACATCATCCCAAAGATGTAGGTACTGTTTTTTTGTTTATATAACTTGCCAGGAGGCAGATGAACTCACTGGAGAAAACAGCCCCTTCGGGAATGGTCATGCCATAGTCCTTCCTCCTCCATTTCTCTTCTAATGGGATTTTGGGCACACATGCACTCTCCTCCTGTGTGTTTTCCAAGCTGCCAGTCCAGGACTCGAACCATGCAGTCAGCAATGTGGAACCTAACTACCTTAATCACCATGCCACTGGCTGGCCATAGATAGTATTTATATTCATCCTTTAGAGGTAGAATGTAAACTCAGAGAATTTGGACCCAGGTCTATCTGGTTCCAGACCCTTACTTCTGACTTGTGCACTAAAGAGCAAGGAGTCTCACATTTTGCTGGTGTCACAAGAATTTGCAGAACTGACAAAGAACACAGAGGCCATGTTCACTGAGACAAGTGAGTTCTGGGTCCCTTTGTTTTACTGTTTCTGAAGTCTTCCAGGAGATTTCCATATCAACTGAAGGCTGAGAGCTACTGGAAGGGAACCCCTCTATGGTCCTCTGACAATCCCACAATTCCACTTCCTCTTTTTCCCTGCTAGACCTGCTACTACTGAACTACTGCATCAGCCAGTGACTCCACAGGGTATCAGGGTGGTTTGACAAGAGAAAACACAAATACAATCAGGTGTTGGAATCAAAACAGTAAACCTGCCTACCAGGTCTGACAGTGCTGGAGCAAAAGCCGACTTCAGAAAACAGAACTCTGGGGGCCAGCAGATGGTGTGGTAGTTAAGTCACTGGATTATTACATGGCCAACCATGGTTCAAATCCTGGACCTTGTGGCTTCAATATTGCACCAAGTGTGTGTTCATGCATGCTCAAAATCATGAAAGGAAAATGGAGGATAAGGGACCGTGGCATGGTCATAGCCCTCCTGGGGGCGGGGGGAAGGTGCCAGTGATTTCTCACTTTCCCTGTCTGTCTCTCTCTCCAGTGAACATATGTGCCCTATGGGGGGCGGGGAGGGGGAAGAGTTTTTCTCAGACCATTCACAGAAGCAGAAGCAGAAGCAGAGGTCAAATGAATATTATTCAATTTAGTTAGTCATTACTGACAGCCTTCTCATTAGCTGTCAGATTTCTTTTTGGACCAAACACTTATTTTTCTTTATCAGAGATATGGTTAAAAAAAAAAAAAAGACTATGGATTTTCTCTACTCATTTTCATTCAAAAATAACAAAATTGTCCATGACATGCTCAATATTTTGTAAGTGACCTTAGGCCAACCATGCATAGACAACGATTAGGAATATACTTGTCAGCTCTTTGGGTTAAGGAGATACCATAGTTCTTATTAACAGATCAGAGCTTCTGATATGGGGTGGTTTGATGACTTCCCTGTGGCTGAAGTCACTAAGCTATTCCTTTGGTTTGTCATGAAAGTTTCTGCAACCTGAAAATTTGACCTATCTTGTTTTAGGAATAAGTACAAAATGCATAGTCATTAAGGTGGAGCAGAGAGTTAGGGACAGAAACAAAAATCAGAATACCTGCAATAGTTTAATTGTGTGTATGTACGTGTTTTACAGTAATTTGAGACTTTCTTACCATTTCTATTAGTTCAGAAGTAATCTAGATATATATCCAGTTATTATTTAACAAAGTTTTTTTTTCTAAAGTTTAATTAATTATCTCTTCCATGACTGAGAGCGAGCGAGCAAGCGAGCTACCATGTACAGTATGGTGTTGATCCCATGAACCTCCCAGCCCCAGTCATGCAGGATCTCAAGCAAGTTCATATCTTTTGTGCACAGGGAAACCTAAAGATGAGAACCTGAGACCTTCTCGTGTGGCTTTAGCATCAGAACACTGCATTACCACTGTGCCACACAGTTGGCCTACCAGAGTTTTAGCTCTATATTTATTTCATTATTTATTTGCCAGAAGGTTTGTATGCTCACCAGATGAAGATCCCCCTCCACCCCACCATACCCCATAGTCAATGGAGTACAGTCATACCATAATCCCTTTTCCTCCTTTCATGATTTTGGACATGCACACAATGTGACTTGTGCGTTTCTCAAGTCAATGAGTCCAGGATTCTTACTGTATACTTGGTCCCATGAGAGTCAGGCTCCTTTACCACTCAGCCAAAGAGTTGGCCCTACCAAGTTTTGAAATGTAACTCCAGGCACTAAGACCAAGGTTTCAATTCACAGGAAGACTCAGAGTTATGTCAAAGAAGAAAGGTCATTCTTACTGTCTAACTGAACAGTTCATATGGAGCAGATGGGATTTTCAGTATGAAATAGTTGTGTTTTGCTGGACACATAAGTTTAATTTTAGAAATTAAGATCTAGGTGATCCCAAAGCAAATGCTCCATTGAGTAGAAGTTGAGCATCATTCCTATAATCTTGGAAGGAATCTTAGAGCTACACCAGAGAAGGGCACAGGGTTTGAGCTGGCATTGCAACAACACTTATCTGGTTCTTTCCACTTTTAATTGGGGTGATGCTCTCAAACATGCCCCTGAAATTTGTGGTTGAGACAAGAGAGTTCAAATCAATGAAGACATCATTCATCCCAGGCAGTATGCTTGGCCAGTGACCTTTCCAGCTGAGAGGGGGAAAAGCTCCCCTAAGTAAGAAAGTAAGAAAGTAAAGCTATCAGAATGTCTAGTGGGGTGAGAGGACCAGCTGTCTGCTCTGCCAGGGTGAAGGGAGCAGAAAGACACTCCCTCGGGTTCATGTAGCAACAGAAAGCAACCGCTAGCCCTGATAACTGCTTTCTCTACACTAATCATATGCTGAAAATTAGGACATCTTGTCAACCTAAGCAGCAGGGAGTACCCAGGATTTCCATTTCACTAGGCTTTGAGGGGGAGATTCTTAGCATTTCATTTCCCAGTTTGCTTCCAGCTCAGGAAGGCTCTGCTAATGACTCAGTAACACACAGCTCTTGGCACATTGCAGGTACCCGATATCAGTGGAGCAGAGGAATGAAGCAATGAATGAAAAGAAGAATGAAAATGACAGACAGGGGAGACAAGGAAACAGGAGCAAAGAGGAACGAAGAAAGGAGAATAGGGGAGAAAAAGACTGACTAGGGTGAGAAGCAGACAAACTCACAATTACTGTTCTGAGAGGATAAACCAGTATAATCATTCTGGAAAAACCAAAGAAGTTTATCTACCAACACTTCTCTTATATATATTTTGAAGACCCTCCTATTAGGTTGTTCGGAAAGTCATGAAATTTTTCTGTTTTCCTGTGCAAAAATGTGTCATGACTTTCCCAATGAACCAATACTTCAAGATACAGTGGCCAGAGAAAGTTTTATATGAATATATGTGTGTAATGAATACACATTCAAGGACAGATGTTCGAGAATGTTTAGAGGGGTAATGGTCAGCAATAACTAAAGTGAGAAACAACTCAAATGCCCATGACTTATGGAATGACCACAAGGCCAAGAAAATATTATTCACAACTACATGCATGAGTTTCACAATAACAAATAGAAAAACAAGAACCAAAAGAAGGCACTTGGGGGGGCAAGCAGGTGGTGTGGTAGTTAAGATGCTTGGATTCCCACATGACTGACCTCACTTCCGGTCTGGCACCTGGCAGCTTGTTTGCTTGCTTGCTCACTCTCTTGAGCACACAAGCCCTATAGCAAATTAGATAATACTAAATAAAATTAAATAATTCTTTAAAACATAGAATGTACTCAGGATCACTCATGTCATGGAAAGGCAACATGGGGCAGAACTAAACTGCAAGGCGTAACAAGGCACACATAGATGGTTCCACTCTAAAGACCAGCAATGGACTTAGATGGTGAAAGTAGTATAGTCTTAAAATGGGTTATTTCAGGTGGCAAATGAGGAGGCAGGTGTAAGGGTGAGGAAGTCAAGGAGGTCAGGGTATCGGTCCTGCTCCTAGTTATTGACTATTAGTAACTTTATAAGTTAGTTTATACTCTACATATTTGCTTTACGCCCTTTTATTATCCCCACCCCTTTTTTAATTGCCAGAGAGTGTCTGATAGAGGAAAGAGGGAGAAAGCACCCTCCGATGGGGTGTGGTCACACCGCAATCCCTTCTCTTTCATTTCTCCACCCTGTGGGGACTTGGGACACACACACGTGCTCAGCATGGTTTTCAAACTGCTGTGACTAGGATCTGAACCGTGGTTGTCCATGAGAGATCCAGCTCCCTGTACATGGTGCTTCCTGGCTCCACTCACTTGAATGCCAGCCCTGTTTTACTCTGTGTTTCTAAAACATAACTTACGGTACAGGGTTGAACTGTGGTCTTCACACAGGTAGGTGCATGTCCTAATCCCCTGTACTTGTGTATATGATTTTAATTTGAAACATAACAACAAAATTCATTGAAAATGTAAATTCAGGATCTGAAGTATCCATGTGGGCCCTAAATCTAATGCCAAGCATCCTTATTAGAGACTGATTAGAGAAAGACACAAGGGAGAAAAAAAGGGAAGAAGCCATGTGACGATGGCGGGGGGGGCCAGCCATAAGCCAAGGGGATGCTTGGACCCATCCGAAGCTGGGAGAGAGAGAAGTGTCTTCCCCTCTAGACTACAGAGGGAGGTGACCCTGTTAAAACCTTGATGTTGGATTTCTTGCCTCTAGAACTGTGAGAGACTCAATTTCTGATGTTTGAAGCCACTGCGTTAGTGGCCATGTTGTCACAGCAGCCCGAGGCTATGACTGTACTCCTAGTGAGTAAAAAATCCTGTTACAGTGTATTTACCGGCTTCTCTTTGGTCTAAATGATAACAATGTTCTCAGATATCACAAACTGATGGCTTGTACATACTTTTAACCTACATACTTGTCTTTGTATTTTGTCCTATGTACTTTTTATTTTATTATTATTATTTTTTAGAGAGATTTTTGCTGT